GCTGCTGCCGCTGTGTGCGGATAGCGCGACCACGACCGACCCTTGCCGGCCGTCCAGCAATAACTCCCGTGCAATCTGACCTCAATAAACATAATCTGACTAAACATGAACATGATCATTGAAATAACTTGAAAACATAACTTTTGTACAATAAACTGTATAGGGCCGTGGCGAGCGCACCGTGCGCCGCCGACGGCGTTAGGCCGTCTCTCGACCGATTCATCTTTTCCCTCGGCAACTCAAAGACCAATTAAACATGAAACATTATTCTGAGGCTATCAAGACATAAATCACACGGACAATCTTGACCATAACCGAAGCTAACCTAGCATGACTTGGGCGGCCCGTGGCCATGCGCGATGAGCGCTGGCGACGGCTTTGAGCCATTTCATGACTGAAACAATATTTTGCCTCGACCATCATCAAGTAATCTGAGTATAAAATGATGTAAACTGATCAATTAAACGTGAACTATTCATGAGTTGCCGAATAAAACGAGAAGTTACTCGATCACGACTTAACTAGGCATAACCGAACTTTAACATGGCATAGCTATAAACTCTTGAACATGAATCGAACACTACTAGCTAAAATGAACTTCTTGACATGAAAATGAGTTGAGGACGGCTTTACCTCCTCAAGTGTTCGACGGAATTCGCAAACCGATCGTGACCTCGCGTGCGTGTGTCCGTGTGCGGTAGCTTGCCGTGCGATGCTTTGCCGTGTGGATGCTGCTAATTGCCGTGCGTGAGGAACGAACTAACTAAGGCAATTTGCTTGGCTAAATATTGCTTAACTTAGGGTCTTGAAGGATACTAATATAAGGCTGCATATATTATGTGAAGAGATGGGAAAATTAAGGCAAATTGCTTGAATTTTTTTTACTTGCTGAACTTGATATGATTTAGAGGGGATCTATAAGGCCGAAAAGGGTGAAGAAAAAATTAGCCTAAGTCCCCTTTTTATAGCCACGGCTTGGAAGCAATTTGGAGGATGATGATGAGGGTTAAACGTGGCCATTACTTAGGCTTGACATTTGCAATGACATGAGTAAGGTTTAGGGTGACTAATCACCCATTTAACCCCTCATAATGCCACGTTTTAGGCTTGAAAATTAGAAAGAAAAACTTACCTTAAGTTTAGGAAAATGCCTTATAAATTTGGGAAATTATGATATAAAAATCCTTTCCAACATCCGTACGACTTTTTGTGCCATTAATGTGTGAGTAATGTTAATTAATCACTAACTTATGTTTAATTATTTAATTAAATATAATGCTTAATTACCAAAATTATTCCGAACGTAAACGGTACGTCGAAAATAATTTTCGGTAATCTCGACTGAAAATAATTAATTCCGAAAATAATAATCGATAACATTATTATATCGTAACTAAAACATAATTTATACTGATAAAATAACGGGATATTACACGTGATAATATTCTGACTGATTTCTAAGGCACACAAATCTCTTGACGAGTTGCCAAAAGTGGCCGATAAATACTGACATGAATCCTGGGGAACTCTAGAGTCATATCGGAAGATACTGAATTCTAGAGTCATATCTGAGTATACTGAATTCTAAAGTCTGAATCTGATTCGAGCATCTTAACTAAGTTCTGATAAATAATTCTGAGCATAGACAAAGTAATATGTTTATAACTGAAAACTGAATCAGCACTTACCTGTAGTCGGAGAGGTGTGAGCGTGACGGTTCAGGTTTTTCTGAATATTACTGACTGAAAAAATTTTCAGAGATGCAGAAACATGCTCTGATACCAATTGTAACACCCCGACTTTTTTACTGAAATCAGAGTACGCGTTTTTCACAAATTTTCTGAATAAATAAATAAAATATTTATTTTGCGAAAACTGATTCGGAGTGCTACCGTGAAAAACTTGACTTTTCTGAAAACCGTTAAATATTTAAACTGATAATAAAACAGTTTTAATATATTAACCGACTAAAGTCGGATCAAAGACTGAGTTTAAGTACTGAAAGTTTTAGCGGAATAACAGCGTGGCCAAAACATATATATACATATCCACATATATCCTGAACTGCCCGTCAGCTCACTCCTCGTCCCCGACTCTGCGACCTGAAAAACATGAAATACGTGGGGGCGTGAGCACTAAGGCACTGTGCTCTGCAGAAACTCAAACTAAAGTAAAACATTGAATATAATAACAATATCATGATCCTGGCATATATAACTGAACTGAAACAAAAACTGAAACTGATATCTGATACCGGTCTGATCTCGCGACATAAGTCACGTAACTGATAACTGAACATCTGCCGGCAAAAACTAATACCGCACACCATGTGCACACTCTAGTGGGCAGATTAAGACAACTAGAACCCAGAATGGACCGGCGACCATTCCGAGCGGATACTGAACTGATAATACATACCTCAAACATGGTAGCGTAATTATAAACAATGTAGTACTTAGTCTGGGTCCCCACCTGAACTGCTGAAACTGAAGGTAGTGCTGATGCCTGATCAAACTGAAATTAATATAAACAATTACTACTGACTATGCTCAGACCAATAAATTAACTAATTAATTATGTTAAGATGATCTACTGAACCTGACATGATATTCGGACTTAATCGGTATAACTGGAACCGGTTAAGTACGAAACTGAACTGATATTAATTAACTGAACTGAACTGGACTGAACTGAACTAGACCCGGAATTTTAACTGAAAATGACACTGAAATCATGAACCGGGACTGAAACTGAAGAATACTGACTGAACCGGTCCAGCCGGTCT